TAGCACGCAAAGTCCTTTTATGTAGAATTATTATGTATGTATCTATTCCTACAGTAATGTGATCTATTTAAAATTAATTGTTATATGAATATACATGTACCAGTAACACAAATATGCTACTGGCCAAATGATCGACATAACCTGGCACAGATTTCTTGCTTGCATAGATATTTGTAAGACTTCACTTTTTTTTTTTTTGCCAATATTTTAAACTTATGTTTATTCATAATTTAATCAATTCAAACTCTCACATAGAACAAACATGTATTAATTACAATATGACTTATCACCTAACCATATTTTATAATTGAATATTAGCTAACTTTCATGTAAGCTTTAAACATGACTCTCATGCTTTTTCTCATTTTTAAGTTTAATAATTTAAAAGTATTTGTTTTAAAAATGTACACTTTGTAACAAGGTATTTTGGAGCCCATGTAATTTTTTTTATTTTTATTTTATATTATATTATATATATATATATATTGATTAAAAACGAAGTTAGTATAGAAGGAGAAGTACAAGCTAAAATTTTACTAAAAAAAGAACTTAATTACTATGTTTATACAAAGTTGAATGACTTAATTTAAGCCTCAGTATAGAGAAGATTATTTAATTTTGCACGAAGCTAGGTAGTCAAATTTGTTTAATTTTGAACGAATTTGATTAATATCTATTTGAAAAGAACACTTGATCTTAATAAAATATATAATTAGTATAACTCTTAGCATAGTAAATAGTTAGAATAACAAACACAGCCCTTATATAAATCATAGTATTCTAAAAAGTATACCTAAACTTTGACTTCAATAAAGAGTGAACTTAGTAGAGTTCTTAACTTTGAAATCCTCTGAGTAGAAGTTTGTTCTTTAATATAGTGTTTTGAATCATCAACCGAAAGTTCAACTGGGCTGATCTGCATAGACTTCTGGATATTCCCAGCCAATCGCTAATATTTGTTTACATTGGGTAAAATAGGATTGATGCATCCTATTTTACCCGATGTAAACAAATATCAGCGATTAGCTGGGAATACCTAGGAGTCTACCTGGATCAGCCCCGGTTGAACTTTCGGTTGACGGTTCAAAACACTACTCTAATTTAGTTTTTTTTTTGTCACTAGATTCTATAATAAAAAACTTTTAGTATTTAACTTCTATGTGATAACTTGAAAATTATTATTTTTTATCGTAGAAATAAAAAGTGAATTATCGATTAATAATCAGCCCATTTTTATATAAAAAAATTAAATTCTGGTGAATTTCGTTATTTATCTATTTATTTTAATCAAATAGATCAAATTAGTATATACTGTATATAATGCATATGTATATACCTGATATATATATATACATAAATCTATATATTTATTTGATCTTAAAATTTTGGAGATGTGAGATTATATATTATATAGCTCCATCTTCTGCTTTTGCTATAGGCATTTCCAAATAAAACAAAATATATACTTATATATATATATACTTTTATTAAAAATTTAGTATTATAGCACTAACACTAATGATGAGAAAGAAGTAGTTTAATATAAGAAAAAGAAAAAATTGAGTGAAGACAATTTATTATATATCAAGTTTGTAGAAACAATTAATAAAGTAAAAAAATATCAGCCAAGAACAGAAAGAAGTGGATTGAAGAACAGTCTACAATTGAGTGTGAAAGATTTAAATTTGAAAAAAAATATAGAGAATTAGAATATGAACTAAAAAAAAGAAAGTTGATGCTCAAATTAAAGATGAAAATGAAAAATTATATTTAGAAAAACAAATAAAAATTAATTTTGAACTTAAGTTAAAGAAATTGGAAACAAGATTAAAGGAGTTAGAAATGAAATATTAGTATAGTACAGTAGTAAGTCTAATGATAAAAAATTTGTAAAATGTTAAACATCATTATTAAATAAAAATTAACAGATATATAATATGTAGTAAGTTTAAATATAAATTTTAAATTTAACAGTTCAATAAAGAATTATTATACAATAAATAAATACAAGTAACTCTTAGTATTAAATAACCACACCCAAAAGGTAGAATAATCCAAATAAGAATTATGTGATTAATAAAAGGAGTAATAATCGAAATTTTGTTGATATTGGAGCATAAAAGGCAAATTGATGAAAAATGATAGTATCAACAAAGAGAAAGAGAACCGAAAGACAAAATTAATGTAAATGTAAGATGTGTAGTAATATATTGAAAGATAATGAGGCTGAAATTGATTATAATAGAGGTAAACTGCAGATAGTAGAATAAATAGAATCAGATATAGTATAAAAATAAATTTTGCATTAGAAAGGATGAAGCTAAAGCAGGGCTAAAATGACACATAGTAAATACCAGCTATTCAATAAGTGTTGTTTTTGATTCATATTATATTAAAATTTTATTATTTGTAAATTTGAGGCAGTGGTGCAGTAAATGGCCACTGTATACTATGTGCATTTTAGCTCTAAGCTAAAGCATTTATTAATTGCTAGAAGTTCTTTATTATGAAGAACATTGGTAGAATTTGCAATCTTAGATACAATGAACATGGAATTAAAAATGAAAAGGATAAACAAAAGGAGTTTGTTTATTGTTGGATTATTAATTATATGAGTTGCAATAGTAAAGCAAGCACGTGATCATGACTATAATAATAAAAATAAATGATGTATTAGAATAGAAGAAGTATTTATAATTAGCCAAGCACTATACAAATATCGAATAGTGTGTTGAAAGCTAGAGATTGTATGAATAATCTGATAAGATTAAATGTTTTGAGTTATCAAAGAACCAATAATTGGCTGGAGTTGAGGGAAGTGAGATAGAAGCCTTACACTACAAATATCTGGTTTCTGGTTCAACTAATCCAGATTTAGATTATGTATCTAGAAATTGAACCTAAATCAGGTTTGATATCTGGATACCAAAATTCTTAGTTAAAATAAAGTACTGGACTTTTAAAGCTTATATTTATTTTATTAAATTATGATATTGTATGTTAAAAAAAAAAACTTTACATAAAATATGCTATAAAATACATAATTATATTACTTTGAAAAATTTTTTATTGTGGTTAATTATATTGGAAGTTCTTTTTCAATTTGATAAATTTTAAAATGCAAAAAAGAACTTACACACCTGAGCAAATTACAATAAAAAAAATGATAGCAAAAGATAATGAAAAGTTCAATAGCATAAAAAAGCATGTCAGAAAAGAGATAAGCTTGTTATAAATGTCAATTAAAGAAGGAGAGCACAGAATATGAATATAGAAAATAGTGTTAAGGGTATTTAATAACTATATAAAATTATATCATTATAAAATTTATTTTATAAGCTAGTCTTTTAAAAAATTTCATAATGCTCAAATTTAAAATATCTATTGTCCTATTTTATAAGGAATATTTTCTTTCAGTTACTCTAAATAATCAAACTGGTACTCACAATAGATATAGTATAAATAATTTGATTCTAAAAAGATTTTTACCAGAGAATAATAAAGATCTAAGTATAATATAATATACAGTATATATGTAGTATTAATATATATTAAAATATATATTTGCAAAATTTAATAAATATTTTATTTATAAAAATACCAACTGGGTTACCTCAGCTTAGCCAAGTTGAGAAAACATTAATTATGCAGATTTTTTTATATTAATTGTCTTTAATCTTAAAGGTGAGCAACTCAGTTACAGAGATGTAATTAGTTTCCCGTAAGATTTTCAAGAATTTATTACAAAGTTACTTTAGGAATTAGCCACAATTAATACTTTAGTTGTTTGACAAACTGGAAAAGATTAAAATCAAATGTATGAATATTTTAGTATGCCTTGCTTGAACAATTATAATTCATAAGTAACAAGCGTAACCATAATAAATTTTAAAAATAAGGAATTTGTAACAGGTCTTATATTTGCAAAGTATCAAGAATTTGTACTATAACTGATATTTTTAATACTGCTTTTCTTTTGACAGATTACAAAATTAGAACATGTTATGCATTTAAAATAGTGACTAAAAGAAGAAAAAAGATTGATTTCCTTATAAATTTATTAATATAATTCTAAAAGTTAAAAGCAATTCTAAAATTTCAAATCCAAATTTAATAATTAAAGCCTAAAAATTAGGACTCCAGCTTACAAAATGCAGCTGTTTTTCTAGTAAGTATTTAAAGTTTAGAAGTTTGATTAAAAATATATTACAAAGTGCACATATTCAGGATTAATACAAAAATATAAAAGCTAAAATGATAAGCGCTCCAAAGCTTGATAATAATAAAGAATATAAAAAGAGTGTTGATTGAAGTAAATGGAAAGCTGCATATTGTGATAAAGTAAAATAGTGTCTAAGACATGATATAAAGAAAATTAATTTTTATAAACAATTATATCTAGATCAAATAGTCTGAAAAAATTAGTTAGTGTAGTATTTGATAATTGGGTTGAAGAGGTAAATCTTGATAGGATAGATTTAACTTTGGGAACAAAGTTACTTAGTGCTGTGCAATATTATATCAGATACATGTTAATTGAATGTCTAATGCATAATCCATATTAGGTAATCACAATTTAATTAAAAGTCTGAAATATTGATATATAAGTGATAAAAAAATATGTAATAATCAGTGACGAACATGTGCATTAGTAATAAAGAGGAGATACCAAAACTTTTGTTCTTGTGATATTCTTAGTGAATATACTGTTTTATCTAAATAAGCATATTGTTATCAGTAGTAGTATCTGGTATGTTACTCTAGTCATCATATATTGGCCAAGCAAGTTAAAGACTGTTAGTAAAGTATACAAATACACAGTAAGTTAGATAAACTCTGTGACATTATAATTCACAATTAAATTTTTTACAATATTATAAATATGCAAATAATGTTTTTTACAAAAGATATAAATTAAATATATTATAAAATAATAAATTTACAACTTCTATTTTTGCAAAAAAATATTTAAGTAATTAAATAAAATTTAAATATTAAAATTATAAAACTATTTCTAATAAATTTTGATGTTTTACTTTTGTGTATTCTTTTTGAACTAAATTTGGTTCATCTAAAATTTGATTAACTAATTCAGAATCTTCTTCAGGTTGAATTTCAATTGCATCATCATTATATTCTGTTTCTTCCTATATATCTCTATAAAATTATGAAGAATTAATGCTGCTTTAATAATTTTTACTCCTTTTGGTAGATCACTATTTTTTATTGCTTTTAAAAATAGAACCTTGCTTTTAAACTACCAAATACCTGTTCAACTACAACTCTAGTTTTACTATGCTTAATATAATAATTTATTTGTTGTTGTTGTTGTGTCTATTTGGAACTTTAATTGGTATCATAATAAAAGAATGCAATGGATATGCTGAATCTCCTAAAAGATATTCTTCTCTTTCAAAAAAATTAGTTGATTGTTTATAAATATTTGAATTTTGAAATACTTTTGCATCATGTACAGAAGCAGGCCATCCAATATCATAATTAATAAAAAGGCCTTTATGATTTACTATTCTTTGAAGATGAATTCCATATTGGTATTTTCTAGAAAAGTATACATCTTTATTAATTCTGCTAGATGCTTCAAAAAAAGGTATATGTGAACTATCAATTGCTCCAATAATTAAAGGAAATCCTTGCATTTTTTGAAATTCTTCAGAAACTTCTTTTTTAAAATCTCCTTGTGGCCATTTAATATACTCGGATCTTAATGATCTTATAGCAGTAATTACTCTATCTATAAATAAATGAAATGTACTCTCAGCAATACCAAACTGAGCAGAAATAGCCCAAATAGTTGATAAAGATCCTAAATGAAATAATGTAGCTGCAAGTTGAATTTGAATATCTGTTTGCATATTATTTGCATTAGAATGGAAAACAGAATGATTTTGAATTTGGTTTACTAATGTAAAAAAAGTAGATTTGCTTATTCTTAAAGTTCTTCTAAATCTAACTTTATCATAATTAAATAATATATTTCTTACCCAATCATCTAATTTAGGATGATTATAATAAGAAATTTGTGAGTTTAAAGTTTGTGGATAAAATGAAAGAATTTGAACAAGCTCTAAATCATTATCATTATCTAAATCCAAATCCATATAGTTATTATTATCATCACTGCTAGATTCAATAGCTTCAGCAAAAATTTGATTTTGTTGAAAATTAGATACCATTTTATTTATAAAATTTAAAATTGATAAATTTATATATAAAAAATTAGAATAAAGAAAATATTATTTGTTTAAAAATTCAAGTGTCAAAAATAATCAAAAAAAAACAAAAAAAATTTAACCATTATTTATAAAAAAATATATAATATAAATTTTATTATATAGAACTTTAAAATTGTATTTTTATTAAAATTTTATAATTTACTACCATAATGATATATCTCCAGTCTATTTGGAGTTTCAAACTGCACTTACAAATCATTAAAATTAATGATTTGTAAGCACAGTCTTGAAGCTTCGTATAGACTAGCAATGCATCGCTATGGTGATAATTACAAAGCCCTTTTTACAGTATTATTTAATTTATAGATATAGAACAAATACATCTATTTAAAAAAATTAGAAACTAACTAAAATCAATTTGAATTACGTAATTTCTATTAAATTTTTTATATTTGGTTTAAATTTGCATCTCAAAGATTTTTATCGGCACTCATATGTTAATTAATTCATCATTGTTTTATATGTGCGAGAATTTTAATATAATGTTGTGATTATTAAAATTAGAATCACTAGAATCAAAATTTCGCCCATATGTGGATTGTTTTTGGTTACTTTACTCATGAACAACGTATAAGTAACTGATAAGTAAACTCATAAGCAATTCATAAGTAATTTTACAATTGCTGGCAAATAATCGCTTTTAATCTTAGTAATCACATCATAATTATATATAGCAGTGTGATCTCTGCAGATCAGAATGTCATGTAAAATCACGAAAAATCAGCCAATTCTAGTAGTTTTTTCAATTCTTAAAGAACTTTAAAGATTCCGAATAACATATAAATGTTATTGATCAAAAATTATGATCAATAGGGAATTAAAATCTCAGAAATTTTTTCGCTATCATCATCACAAAATCACAGGGCCACACTTTATTGCAAACTGCCATAATCTAATCATTTAAAAGATTTCTGCAAATATATGCAAAATAACCAATTTTGTTAGATCGCTGCATATTAATATCTATACAATCAAACAATCACTTGGTTGTTTTTCGGTTGCACAATTATATAATAATTTTTTAGTGAGCATAGATTTAACTGGTAAATTTTATGAAAATA